CCGCCCCTGCCCGCCAGCGGCCCACCTACCCCTGCAGGGCGCGCCCGCTCGCCCGCAGCGCACCGCGCCGCCCGCCCTCCCGCTCGCTCGCGGGCTCTCAGGTCGGCGTCCCCGCGCCGCCCGGACCGGATCCGGGGCGAGAGAGCAGGGCTCCGACAGGGGGCGCCGCGCCGGAGCGCCTAGCGAGCGTCCCCGGACCCGCCTCCCCGACGCCCCCGCGGAGCCGCGCGGGAGGGGCCCCGGGCTGAGCTTCGGGACGCGGACCGCGGGACTCCGGCCGGCTGCCCGGCAGCACCTGGGCGTTGAAACCCAGAAGCTGCTATGTTGACTCGAGTGCCCCGTGGTCTTTGTAAATGCCAAGCTTTACCTTTCTCTTGAACGGCAGTCACAGAAGGAAATGCCAGGTAATACTGCCATGCTCAGTTGTTGGAGTTTCTGACATATATAAACACAAAGAACGCAATTTAAATGATCTTTGGCGGACTGAAAAAACCCCTCAAAAGTCTGTCAACAGCAGTTGGAGTCTTGTGATTCGGTGGTATGAAGAGTAGGGAGATATCGCTTCCCTGACAGCCCAGGTCCCAAACTGAGTAAAGATCACCTTAATGTTTTTGAACCTCAGTTTGTGCATCTGTAAAGTAGGCACGAGCATTTGAACTGCTTACTCCACATTTTCTTAGGAGGATCTAAATAATGAATGTGGGGACTTTCAGTCGTTTATTGTGCCTCTCTTCTACATATTTCTTTCTACCACAAGTGCACAGTTAAGAGGGAAAGACTATGGTCAGGCTGCCACTTACTAACTGGGTGGCCTTGGATGTGAACAACCTCTCTACGCTTCAGTGTTCTCCTCTGTAAAAGGGAACAATCATAGTACCAACCCAACAGGTTTATTGTGAGGATTAAAGAGGAGAATGCATTTTACACATTCACAACACAACCTAGCACATAGTATGCCTATCACATAGTGTGCCTGCTACATATATTTTAAAATAGCTTTCCTGAGTTATAATTGACATAGGATAAATTACACATGTTTAGAGTGAACAGTTTTGCCCTATGTATCAGTATACATGCATGACACTATCACCACCATCAAGGTAATGAACATACCCGTCACCTCCAAAAGTTTCCCCATGCCTGTAATCCCTCCATGGATCACTTGCAGTATATGAGAGTATCAGTTGCTCCACATCCTTGACATTAGTTTTGGTCAGTCTTTTTCATTTTACCCATTATAATAGGTGAGTAGTGTCATCTCATTGTGGTTTTTTTTTT